AAGAAACTTGGTTTGATTTTTGCCATTTAATAAGCAATTGTTGCCTCAACAGGAAAAGTTGATTAACATACAAAAAAAAAAGCAGAAACAAAAACCTATTCTATTCGGCAAGCGAAAGAGAAACTAAATATTGGAATACATACATATGAGTGCTCGTACACGTGGCAGAGGAAATGCCACAAGGGGGTAAATTGTTTAGATTACAGGGAGGCAAGGATATGCTGGGAGAGAGCTCCAATGGACACTGATATGCAACAGACACGCTGCCAGACAAACAAACAGAAAGGCAGGCCAACAAAAATGACTGAACATGAATGCATCCACAAGGGTGAAAGGTCTTCTTCGAAAATAGAAACAAACGAAGCCAAGGAGCTGCAGGAGCAGGAGCAGGAAAGGAGCGGGCCGTGGCAATCTCTGCTCTCTGCCGGAGAAGATCAGGAGAGGCAGGACAACATGTTATTGTTTGCATTTGTTTTTCCATGCCAGCATGGCAGGGCAGGGCAGGGCTGGGAATATTTTTCAACCCACAAGACTCGGGTTAACTTGGCTGGCTAGCAAAAATATTTGGTTGAGAGTATACCAAAAAAAAAGAAGAGCACTGAGACTCTACAACCGCAAGTTATATGCGAAGGTCGGGTCGAGCGGCGAACGGCAAACGGCGAGGCAACAAATAATAACCGAACATTTCCTGCTCCTGCTCCTGCTGCTGCTGCTGTGCTCCCCTTTCAACTCGCATTCCTGTTGGACAGGACATGAAATTGTTTAAATTATTTACACAAGCTGGAAAATTAAAATGGACAGCTGCTGTGGCGGGGTGAGTAGCAGCCAGCCAGCCAGTCAGCCAGCCAGCCAGTCATTGTTATGACTGTTGCAACTGCTTGGGTCAAGTGCTGCTATGTTGTAGCTGGCACGTACATAGGAGCTATAGCAGGGGGGGGAGGGGGAGCGACACTGCAGTGTTAGTGGAGTGTAAGTGGACCAGTGGCAGTCGCTCCAAAACTTTAGTTCATAACTTTTCATTCTCTCTGTGTGTGCCTTTTGCGTCTGTTTTGTCTTTGGGACTTATCTTTGGTCCCAGGCAAATTTTAATTATTAGCATACATTCCCAGAGACCAGAAACGAACCCAAAGCCGGAGCCAAAGCCAAACCCAAACCCGAGACCCGTCTGAAGTTTATGAGTTTGATTGCGCACTCTGCTCTTCTCTGCTCTGTGTGCTGCTCACATTGTGTATGCGTAATGCGTACGTCTGTATCTAATTGAAAAAATCAAGCATACGCCATGTTGTGCCATTGTTTTTTGACGAACGAGAGAGAGAGAGAGAGAGAGAGGTTAACAATCGGATGGTCATTACACACAGCTGCTACAAGTGCACACACACACACACTTACAGCTGAGAGTATTTGGACCTGCCATAGGGCAGAAGTGTGTGATGGGCCGGAGAAGGAAATAATGAAATGAAATGTTGACTGAGTTCTGTTTGTTCCCCGGCAACTGGAAGTTATTGCCTTCGACACACGGCTCTGCGTCACGAGATGTTTCACATGAATTTAAGAGCGTCCTATCACAGTCGAAGGCTCAATTAATCGATGACAATTCAATTAGCCTCGAGCCCATAACACACAAAGGATTCATTGCCATGCCTGTAAGATCTGGAGATCTCTCTCTCATAGCTAAACTTTACTTGCACATTTCGAGCATCCTTCGGATGGCAGCAGCAGCATTGTTCGGGGCTGGGGCAAACTACTAAGCAGCTGAACAGTTCGGTGTGGGAATTGAATGGCCATAAGAAAAGTTTACCGTTTAATTGGACAGGCAAATAGGCAGGAGACTGCAGGAGGCGGCAACGACTCGTTGAGTGTCTAAATGTCAGTAAGTTTCCCAGCTTCTGCCAGCTGCTACAGGGGTGGAGAGAGGGGGGGTGGAGCGTATACGGAGTTGGCCGCTTTCGGCCAAACAATGAGCTAAATTTTCCATAGAAAACTACTAAGTAAGCTTGTTAATTAAATACGCATTACCGCCCCTGTAATTGCCTGTGACGCGCTGCTTAGCAACAGCTAGAACCACTACTTCACTCCATCGGTGGCTAATAGCTGCGTGGGGGGGAGGGGGGTGGGCAGAGAGTGCGGGAAACAAACTAATTGTTAAAGTCAAGTGCAAAGTTTGTGCAAAGAGTGTGCACGGTCCGGGCACAGCGCCCCGTAATCGTCAATATATCATGGCAGAAATAAGCAAACATTAAATTTAATTACCCAATGACACCTCGACCACAGGGACACATACACAGACACGGCTGGATAGCGGAAAAATTTTAATTTTAAAATCAAATATGAACTTAATGATCCTCGGGATTCGCGACTCTGATAGTGCAAATGACAATTAATTAGCGCATATTTCACTGCAGTCGCAGTTGCAGTTGCAGTCCGCATGTCAGAAGCCATTTGACTCACACAAATCATCAATCACGGCCTGCTCCCAGCCAGAAAATGAGTCGCGGAATGCATCAAGCGCTGAGTGAATGCAGCAAAAAAAAAAGGTTAATGGGTTAAAAAATCAACCTCAACTTGGGTCGTCAGCGTCAACGTCTGCATCGTTGCTTATTGTTTGCATTGTTTTTTCCTGTGGGTTGTACAAAATACAGAATAAAAAAAAACAGGGCAGGGCAGCACTGGGGTGGGTGCTACGAGGGAACTAAAATATGCGCACACCGCAGGTATATTGTTGGTACTATGTTGGGTAATTTGTGACTTGGAATGCTTTGCAGCCCGGCTGCCTTAGCCGCACTGCAAAGTTTTACGGCTTTGGCCCGTTTCTAACACGACACTCGGCCATTTAACGCTTTACGGCATTGGATTTATGCAATGCGATATGCAAAATGCAATTGCATGCAAATGCAGCCGCTAAATGCAAGGAAATTTCCAGCAGGAAAACTGAAATAAAACAGGGAATGAATACTCAATTGGGTGTGGACTGTATAAGGATGTCGCAGTGGAAGATATCCTGCACTGATTTAATATTGCATTTAAATTATGTAACCATTTATCTATTTATTTATAATCTCCCAACTGCATATCTAATATCAAATAAATTAATTGCTCGCACAGTCAAAATACCCATTGAGTAATTAAGTGTATTTTTTTTGGAATATATACTATTTTTCTTTGCTGAAAATATATTTATATGTGGGCAATGTTCGGTGTTAGAACGATTTAAATAGTGTAAATACAATCCAATGCTATAAATAATATTTTCAATTTATTTCAACTAATTCTTTATTTGTTTTATTTTGTTTTGTGTGAAATTTAATACATTTAATTAAAGCAAATATATATTTTAATCGCACACAGCTCGAGTTTGTTTGAGTTGAAAACGCTTTATAAAAGCCAACAAATTATCAGCTTTTAGATAGTTTTTATCACTGCTCTTCTGCTTTAGCAGAGTTTAATCATATCTGGCCTCATTGTTCCAGCCGCTGCGGGTGATGCCCCCCTACCCCACCCACCATGCACCATACACCATCCACTGGGCAACTCTCGGGTGTCCTTAAGCTGGCCAGAGCAGAGCTGTGCTTTTATTTACCCCTTTGGCTTTTGCTTTGGCTTAAACAAGTGTGGCTCTTTTTCGCCTCCCTTTGGTGCGCCCACACACCCACACTCACACTCACACGCATACCAATAGTGAGTGCAGTCACATCGACCTGCATGTTATTCATGACTAAATACACACACACAGAGACACTCTTAGCCGCAGCTACCTTAACCGACCTCTAACCGCGACCCTCCTGCAGCACCGCCCCCTGGAGAGGCATCCCCCGCATCTGCTCTCGGCCAACTGCCAGACCAACAATTTTCTAAACTCGCGCGCTGCGCACGTAATAAAAAATACGCCAGCTTGGGGGCAGGTTCTTGTCGGTGCAGCAGCACTGCAAAAAAAAAAAGAAAAATTAACTTTAGAAGCCTGCAACTATAGCCCATGGATCTTATGTGTTATATCCGTACAATCTTCAATTTATAAATGGTATAAATTCCATTTTGCATTGTAATTAAATATGTTAGTTAATTTCTTTCAGTGTTCTGAAAGGATGGCAGTGGAGAAGGAGCAGGCTGACTGGCGCGCTAAGCTGTGCTAAACATTCCCTAAATATATTTTGCAACAGCTCCACTAGACACACACAGACACACACACACAGACAGATAACACACACATAGACTCATGAGATAAGCGGCGCACATACCGCACCAACCTGAACCTGAAGCTATGGGGGTTGGGACTGGGTGTGTGGTTCGAGGGGGTGGTGTGGCCATGGGTCTCGGAGAACACAGAGCGCACAGAGCAATGAAACTTTTTGCGCCTGAATATTTTTGCAAAACTATTCACAGTTGATTTTTCACCTGATGCTTTCATCCTTGTACGTTGTACGTACGTAACTCTCTGCCCAGTATCTGTGTGCGTTTTTGAGAGCGAGTGCCTTTGTGTAAGTGCAGACTGCAGCTGCAGCTCTGAGTCCAGTGGGTATGCGAGTGCTTAAAATATTTGTCCGCCCAACTGGCAGCGTGGCAGACTGGCAGACTCCCCACCGACTACCTGACTTTGGCCTACAGCCGCCTTGCATTCGCCTTTATAGGGCACAAATTTAAATGGAGGAGCCACACTGCGCGCGTAGCAGTGCTGCAGTGCCACATTCAGGTGCAATTTGCATTTGGGCAGAGCACATACAGAAGGGTCCCTCTTAAAGAGCTAGTTTTTCAAATTATATATATATATATAAATATTTTTATTTAATAAATGTTTTCCCATTTAAAAAAATTTTCCATCGACTGCACATCGATGAATATTTAAACCCTGTAAGGTTAAGTTCACAAATATTTAAATTTAAACTAGATTTGGTTACTTGAGGCTTGGTTTTGCCAAATGATATTATTTATATTTATTTAAATAATTTAGAAATAAACAATTTTAAGCTCCACTAACCATATAATATTTGCCATCAATGCCATTGCAGCTATGGTCTTTTGGGTGCCTCTGGATGCGGCAAGACGACTCTGCTCAGCTGCATTGTTGGACGGCGTCGTCTCAATTCTGGTGAGATTTGGGTGCTCGGCGGACAGCCGGGATCGCGTGGTTCCGGTGTGCCAGGACCCAGAATTGGCTATATGCCACAGGTGAGTTGACCTCAGTCTCTGTGCTGTCCGGCTGGCTGGCTGCCTGACTGCCTGACTGCCTCTGGTGCTCTCTGGTAGTTGTTGAATTTTTCATGCGCTTTTTATTGCCTCATGCCCCATTCGACTAAATTAAATAAACGCAATAAAATGCTGAAAGCACAAAAGAAAACATGCACCCAGCAAAGTTTTAAATGCCGCACACACAGACACCCACACAGGGGGAGTACAAAACTTTTAATTTTCACAATCCATAAGAATACCTCAACTCTGACCCAACTCTGACTGTGGCCCTCCCGCTCCACTCCCCTCCCATGTGCCATTGGGCACAGAGGAGTCATAAACAAGCAGCACTGGAAAGTAGGCAACAGTTTTTCACTTCGCTTGTGCATGGGGGCAGGGAGTCAGGGAGTCAGGGACGCTTGTGCAGTGCTTGTGGTGCTTGTGCAGGTGCACAAAATATATAATATCCGTATTCCGATTTCGTTTTTATTGCAGGAGATAGCCCTTTACGGCGAGTTCACAATGCGTGAGACCTTAAAGTACTTTGGCATTATCTCGGCCATGCAGCTGGGCGACATCGAGGATCGCACCGAATTCCTGCTCAAATTGCTCAATTTGCCAAATGGCTCGAAATTTGTCAAGAATTTGAGTGGCGGCCAGCAGCGACGCGTGAGTCTGGCTGTGGCCCTACTCCATGAGCCGGAGCTGCTCATTCTCGACGAGCCCACTGTGGGCGTGGATCCGGTGCTGCGACAGAGGTGAGTTATAAGTGGAGGCCATACTGCTTTTACGGCATCGTGTGCCACTCGACTCGTACCCGTTCCCAATGACAGCTGATTAACTCTTTCATTTACGCCTCTTCATCTCGTTTATTACAGCATCTGGGATCATTTGGTGGACATTACAAGGAATGGTCACACAACCGTGATAATCACCACGCATTACATAGATGAGTGTGCCCAGGCGCATATGGTAAGTGAATCCAGAGAACCGCAGACAGTAAGAGTTGGGGAAATGGAAGCGGGAAGTGGGAAGTGGCACTGAAGTGTCAATGGCTTTGGGGGCGCCCACGCATTGTTTGTACGTTTGATTTATTGTCGGCTCTCTCTCACATCTATTTGTACAATGCGGCGTATGAGCAATATTATTCTGCCGCTGTCGCTGCTGGTGCTGTCGCTGCTGCTGCTGCTGCTTCCGCTCTTGCCTGAGGTGAAAGTTCAGCTGCTAGCGGCGCTTATCAGCTCAAGTGAGGGCTGTCAACATGCGGCGCTAAGTGCTTCCGCCCTCGCCTGCCATGGCAAATTTGTATCCTGCGCGTTGCAACAAATCTGTGTCCAAAATAAAAAAAAAAAAAAACAGAAATGGTCGAGTAGAATATTACAGGCGGCTGTCGCTGTTGACCCATGGCCGGGGGAGCTAGATTTACGAGGCATTTCCGAGCGAGACATACTGCAAAAAATTTACTTCAGATTTATTTATGTCGCACACATGAGAGCGGCTCAGGTTGATGGGTGGCACTGTGGCGTAGCGTAGCGGAGTGGGGTGATCCATGGGCATAGGGAAATATAACTGCGTTAGTCATTTAATGCGTGCAGCAAACAATGAACTTGGGCTACAAGAAATACACAAGAAATACACGAATAAATCGTGACAAAGCTCATCACAATGGACAACCAGATGGGCAGATACATATCCTCTTGCTACAGCTACAGGCGCTACAGGCGCTACAGGAACAGGCGCAGATACACAGACACAGAGAGACAGAGATACAGAGATAGCCATGCAACACGCACAGGACATGGGCATACATAAAACAAACAAAGTCCTTACAAGCTCAAGTGGAGTGTTAGATGGTTGAGCAACGAATATATCAATGACAACACTTTGAAAAAGATTGATGCTGGGTAACACACAAAAGGGGAGAGAAGTGTGAGTTGGACAGCAGCAGATCGACTCCTGAGCACTCCACACCGTAGCCCATTCACTCATCGTTTAAGTCGAATGATTGATTTTCCCCCAAAGAAATTATTCATTAAAGCAAGGAATTCATTTGTTTAGGATAAACGAGAAAATCTGCCAAGAAGGGCGCCTAAAAATGATGATCCATTATTGAAAAATATTTCACATAACTTTGCACTCCTCTGATTAAATTCTACATAAATTTCACATCGCTTTAAGAGACTTTTATGTGAACATAATTCATAGGAAATCCTTGTGGAACATGTCCCAACGCCACTCCCAATAGAAACAATCTGCCGGGCTGAGGCTTAAGACCTCTAACCCCACTTGACCCCCCCACCCCAAAGTACATTCAAAGAGTTAAATGGCCCACATGCTGTGTGGCTCTGCCTACATCATCCCTCATTGTAGACACACCACCAGGCGGAAGACACACCGCTGTCACGCCGCCGACGCCACCCCCACCACGCCAAAAGTCATTGCGGTAAAGAGTTATGGCCAATAAACAAAATCACTGCCAGGAATAGAAAACACGGCGCTTTGTTTTTGCAGGAAAATCGGCATTCGTTGAGACCATCGCCACTCGACACTTGGGACTCGCCACTTGGCCAGGCGGATGACAAAAAACAAAACAAAACAATCGACTGAGTCGCAGTCCATTAAACAATAAGCACCAAGGAGGTCCAGGCGATCCACCATGTAGACCGCTCAGTTAATCTATCGGCAACGCGTTGAAATGCGAATTTAATACGAATTGTTTGGTTGAAATTTATGGTTTATGGGCAGACGGAGGCCATTAAAAGCCCATGCTATCACATACGTGTGTATGCAAAAGCCCCTGGGGGACCAGCCGACCCAAATACCGACTGGAGATCTGTCTGTGTGTAACTTTTGGTGACAGTGTTTAATTGCTCATATTGAACACGTGTTGGCTTCCGTTCCGACACAAGGCACAAGGAAACAACAGTCGCATCTCAGCCTGGATTGGGCACGCCTCAGTAGCCCTGACGACTGCTTCTCTGACTGCTCTGACTGCCTGGCCTGAGTATTATGGCCGGCAGCAAATTGCTTTTTCAGCTTTGTCACTTTTTTCGTGGCACGCTTTGGTCTCACAGCTCACAGTCAGCTCAAGTTGCTGGCCAGTCCAACGGCAGTGCAACTTCATTCAGTCCTCGATCCAAGGTAGTTATGTGCACATATATTTTTCGCCAATTCTGCACGTCACGAGGAGTTCACTTGAGTTTTTTTCCTTGGTTTTTTTTTGTTCTGTTTCTCGGTGTTCTCGGTGTTTTTGGTGTTTCCTTTTCTCTTTTTTTTTTTTCTTTTGTTTTTGTTGTGTCCAGTTTTTTTTTTCCGTTGAGTCAACAGAATTGCGTGTACAGAATGGGGAATTCCCCGCATTGTGACCCGGCCAATAGATGCTAAACCACTCGAATGACCCAAGAGCTGGACACACGGATGGACACTCGTAGATTGAACAGCCAACGCTGTGCCCTGATTGAGCAACGCACTTCAATTGGCACCTACATGGCACTTGATCTATTCCCGCTCCAGCTCCAGCTCCGGCATCGCCGGTCTGGCATTAAATGTTATTATTGCATGTTGGCAATTTATAAGCTGAAAATTCATGTGGCAATAAAAATTATGCGCTCACGGTGGCACAAAAAAATAGCTGTTAGTTTTTCATACAGCTGCTGATGCTGCTCTACTGCTGCTGCTCCACTGATGCTGCTGTTGCCACTCCTGACGATGATGATGCACTCAAACAAAAGCAAAAAAGCTTTAAATATAATCGTAAAATGCATTTACGACTCCGGTATCCCCGTATCCCCGTATCTGTGTGTTTGCGACCGTTTCCCAGTGTGTGTTAAAACTTTTCTGTGCTTAAATTTTTGGTTATTGTTATTTGTATGGTGAAGCGATTAAGAGTTTTTATTTTAATTGAAATATATTTATGGGCATTAAAAAAAACCGCACACGTCTGTGCCGTGTTGAGAGCTGATGAGAGAGAGAGAGTTGTCTGCGCACTCGATCCCAATATGCCTCATCTAGTGCCACATCTTCACAATGGCCGTATGATTTCCAGGCGATTATTAATATTTAATATGTTACAAAAAGGTATTAAATGCGAGTATCTGAATATTTATTTATTGCTGCCACAACATGTGTTATTTACGAGCATAAAGCCGTTTCCATGCTGCATACTGGCCCAAGCTAAAAACGGATTTAGTTATGGTTTCTCTTTAATGGGAATATTTTTGTTGGCTCTATGCATTATATTTATTATTATTATCCTCTTCGCTGTTGTCCTAAAAGCATTCTCTGCTTAAATTCGTGTGAATATGGTAGCCACATCAAAGCGGGCATCCATGCCATTATGTCACAATATCCAACGCCTGCAATGGTGTCGTCATTAGCCAGAGAACTGCTCCCACTACAACCTCGCTCCATTATGTATCCACACACTCCTTGCGGGGTCATCCAACCCGGACCCGGACCACACAACAGAATGGCTTCTCCACGTCGTCATCGTCCTCGTTCTCCCTCTAACAAAGTGCAGCGCTTCACTTTTTTTTGACAGACATTGCTCCCCAAATTTAATGTCAGTCCTGCCTTTGCCTTGGCTCCTGGGAAATTGTTGGCTTACACCAAAGAAAAAAAAACGAAGAGAAGCTAAAACCAAAAAAAGAGGAAGACCAGAACCAAAAAGCATAGCGAAGATTGCTAGCCGAAGCTTAAGATACTCTTGCAGCCATTCTGTCATTCGTTTTTGATCAAATTTGGCAGTCATATAAAATAAATTGAATCTTCTAATTTGTAGATTTTATCTCTCATTCTCTGCACTGCAAATACCGTATGGATGGACCCTTTGCCAGGGTATACAGACAAAAAGATAAAAAGAAATTCGCGTATACGCCACATGGCCACACAGTGAAGACAGCGTAGGGACAGTAGGGGGATGAAGGCTGAGGCTAGCCCTGCATAGGGAGTGGAGGACTGTCTCTGACTGTCCCCAGTTGTACATGCAGCACTTTCAGCTCTAATAAATGAAATCAGGGAGCGTAACATTATGTGATGGATATATTGTTACGGATACGAGTGCCCTACGCCAGCATTTACTTCGTCTGGCTTCCTGAATCTCCTTCTCCGCCTTTGCCCCAGCGCCTTTAATAGTTTATATTGTTTGAGTTGCATTTCCCCTTATGGCGCTACTCCTCCACGTTTTTTTCGCCCACTTTTTCTGTCGCGTAATTTTCCGCATGTTGCCTTTGAATATCAAAAAAAAAAAAAGAAGGTTGACAACACACAAAACGAATATCCAGCCAAAATGCAAATGGACAGTTGAATAATTGCTAAAGCTGATGAATGACAACATCATGGAAATGAAAAAACATCACTTGGGCCACTGGGTTTCCTGTTTGATTAAACATCCCAGAACCAGCCAGAATATTTGTCCATACATATATCCTGATGAAGTGCTGATGGGTTCCAACCACTTTGATTGGCATTTTAATGCGATGTTGCACGTGGCATGTTATTATGCATTAAGCTGCCGTTGTTACCGCATTTTCTGCTGCCGCTGCTGCCGTTGCTGCTGATCCGCAAAAATTGGTGCATAAAAAAATAGTATTAACAATTCATATAACGTAAACGACCAAAGCGGGTGGGGCCTAGCTTACTTACCTCTTTTTATGGAACAAGCATTAAATTTTTAAGGGTGGCCCCTAAAAGCAAATGGAATAGTTGAGTTGAGTTCGGGTACAGATTCGAGCTGTTTTTAGAGCTAAAGTTATTCGGGTAGAAAAAAAATAAATCTACGCATTAGCTTGGCGATGTCTCAGTCGAGGAATTGCCCAATTTGGTGGGGGGGTGGAATGTCTCATATGGGTATAATATAAACATAATGGGCGATCTTTTTGCTGTGTATAATATTCCTCATTTGGGTTCTACAATTTTCTAGATAATAATAAAAATAACCCCGAAGCATACGAATATAAATCAAGCCCTCAGCTCAACTTTTAATATACAATATTCCAGAATAAATTTCAAGCTCGCTGCCATCCATCCACTAAGTGCTACGTAACCAGCCAGGCCATAAATATCGTGTGCATTTTTCAATTTCACCATTTCCTCTGCGTGCGCCAAACGCGACGAAAAAAAAAAAAAGGGAAAATTATTTATGGCATGCAAAAACTGCCCTGGCCCCATAATAATGCACATCACATACAGCTATGTAGTTGGGGCCAGGCCAATAAAATTACAATTGCCTGTTTCGGCAGGAAGTTTCTAATTTGGTTTTGCCATTGCAATTCAATTAAGACGTTAATTGGCTCACTGAGAAGTCAAAAAGACAGAGCGGCAGAGCGGGAGAGAGAGAGAGCTCTAGCCCGCCCCAAAAGATACGACTAGAGGATTAGCCAAACACAACAGCCAGCGGTGGTTTTGGGGGCTTTGGGGGCTGGAGCCCCGAGGAAATGAACGATTTCCTGGCGAGCGAGTGTGTGGCCATAGCCAAAATCAGAAACGAAGCCAAATCAAGCAGCAAAACTTTTGTAACTAGCTCTGTGGTTTATTTAGCATAGAATTTTGCTATGTGCAGTCAGGGATGGAGAGCCAGAGCCAGTGACTGGGTCTGGGTCTGGGCCTGGGCCTGTGCCCACTCATGTGCATGCCTAATGAAGCCACCCAGTGAGCGTTGGAATTGATGAACAAGCAAGCAGTTGACGATGAAGATGCCTGCGAAGTTTTGTAGCAGGCGGCAAACTTTGCCAGGACTTGGCACAGGACAGGAAAGGACAGCACAGCACAGAGCACAGAGCACAGGAGAGAGCACAGGAGAGAGCGATGTGTGTGCCTGGTCATGTACGGACACAGAAATCAATTAAGTTAATTTCCGCACGTTGCGTTGAGCACAAGCCCAAGGACAAGGACAAGGGATTACCAGCAGATAGGGCGGGTGGGGGCTTAGTCAATAAAACTTTTCATCGACAACAACGGGGGTGGGGGGGATGTGCATAATTTTGCCATTGACTCGAAAGAGCGCAAAACTTTACAAAAGATTGTCTGTCTGTGTGTCTCTCTGTCTGTCTATCGGAGGGGAACAGGAACTTGAACGACTCTCCATCAAAGTCAAAAAGTTTAATTGGCTTGGCGACACTCTTCGTGGAGCACGCTCCAAATCAATTTGCTAACAAAATGTTTCTCTGTTTCTCTGTTTCTCTTTCTCTGCATTGCCTCCCCCCTGCACAGATTGGTCTGCTGCGCGGCGGCAAGATGCTGGCCGAGGAGTCGCCGGGCTTTCTGAGGCAGCAGTATAATGCGGACTCACTGGAGGCTGTGTTCCTTAAGCTCTCGGTGATGCAGAACATGGGCAAGCGTCGTCGCTCGTCCATTGCCCAGGAGATAGTCGAACAGGTGACGGTGCCAGCCATCTCCAATCCCGCCCTGGACATGTCCGATGAGCAGCATGCCGCCGAGATATCCGGTGAGTTCGGTGACAACATCTCGATGTCCTCGGCCGCACGGGACCCGATCACCAGCACAGCCCCAGTGGCACCGCCCCTGCCGCCCGTGCAGGATGTGCCCACGTCCTTCTGGTACAATCTGCATGTGATGCAATCGCATCATCTGCACGCGCTCATTTGGAAGAACTTTCTCTGGATGATGCGAAATGTGGGGTGAGTAATAATCATATAATACTTTTCGTCAGAGAGAGAGAGAGAGAGAGAGAGAGAGTCTCCTGCCTCTATGCCTCATCCCATTCCCAGTGCTAATTTCGGTTCAAATTCTCCAACAGAGTTATGCTGTTCATTGTGGGACTGCCTGTGGTACAGATATTGCTGTTCTGCTATGCCATCGGCCATGATCCTACCGGCCTCAAAGTGGCCGTGGCGAATCACGAGATGTCCGAGGAAATGATTATGCAACAATTCTGTCCAGTGCAGGCCGGATGCAATCAGACAATGCTCAGCTGCCGCTATCTCGATATGCTGGTCAAGAACAAGAGCATGGTTGTGGTGAGTGTGCTATGTAAATTACCTTCGTATAGATAGCCTTAGCCCTCCCCCAGGAGACAGGAACAGGAGCAGAGACAGAGACAGAAGCAGAGACAGAAGCCTGAGAAGCAGCAGGAGATGCAGCAGGAGATGCAGCAGCTCCCGCCCAACACACCCGGGGGTGCAATATCAGCTGTCATTGGCTTTTCGGTTAAATTGTGCAGTGCGAACTTTACAATAACCACTCATGTTGCTTATTCAAGGATGCCCAGCCCAGCCCTGCCCAGTCCAGCCCGACCCTATTGGCTGTTCCTGTAATTTATTTCAATTTGTGGGGACAGGCACAGAGCTGCTGCTGCTGCTGCTGCCTGGCCCTTGTGCTGGCGGCAATGTGTGTCCGGCTCTTCAATCTACTGCACACATCATCTCTCGCCCCACCCCTACCCGCACTCCTAAATCAACTCCACCAAGGCCCGCTCTCCAAGCCGAGCATCGACTTGGCATTGTCTTGGCTACTGTTTCTCCTGCTGCTGCTGCTGCTGCTCCTGCCACAAAATGTGGCTCCTGCTTCGATGCCCTTGGTGTTGGGCGAACACAAATTACATCTGCTTATCTTTGGCACAGCAACAACGGCCAGTCGGTGGAGATCATCAATAAATTTACTGTCCAGCTCTGGCTATGGGTCTGGCTATGGGTCTGGGCAAAAGTAGCTGTCGAGTGGTAGTCAAGTCCAGTGGGAGCGGCAGGCCGCTTGTGGCAATTTATTGCAAATTACGCTTCAAAAACAAAGTCTCTTTTGTTGCCTAATTTGAGTTTCAGTTCTGGGGCTGGGTGTGGGGCTTGTCTCTGACTCTCTGAGTCCTCTGAGCTCTTTGTTGGCTGCTTATAATTTCATGCATTTTACATTAGACACTCAACAGCAACAGTAACACAGCAAAAACCGAGACCAAGTCGCAACATTATTTGGCGGAAAACTTGCAAAACACACAAACTTTATGCCAAAAATTTAAAGTTTTTCGGTGCAAAAGTTCAAGCAAAATTTAAAGTTTTCTAAAAGGATTTGGGGGGCTTCTTCGGCAGTCAAATAAACTCAAATATTATTACATTCAACGTCCAAGTAAATTTCCTTCGACAATCAATTGCGCTTCTCACAGAGAGACAATAAAAATGGAAACAACATTGGCCCTATCGCTGGTATATCCAATAATAAAACAAACAAAGAGGGAGAGCTAACCCCTAACAGACCGTAACCTCCTTAACTTTCTTAAATTTTCCAATAACAATATAATAAAGAGGGGAACAACAACAAACCATTGGCATGCCTCAACTGGCAATTTGTGAAGAAAAGTTTTTACCTTTGGAAATTGAAAAGAAGCTCAAGAAGCCCCCCACCCCGCTCCCCCCAGCCATCATACTTAATTTGTATAAATTCAGAGACTGGAGATAAAAATAAGGGCAAAATAATATGCGGCCGCGTATCTTTAGGCCGCATCAAAGACCCGCCCCTGCTCGCTCCTTCTCCTGCTGGCCTGGTCAGCCCACAAAACCCAAAGCGAATGGCGGCGGAGTGAGAGAGAGTGAGAGGAAGCAGAGTTAATTTTGGTCAATGAACAGCGTATCTGCGTGCCATCAGCACATGGCCAGAACCTTGAGCCATCTCACCTTTCCGATCTCCCAGCGAAAACAAAAAGCTGAAGGCGGCGGCGGCGGCGAGGGCAAAAAAAATTTGAATTTTGTTGCTGCCGCGCTTCGCCTCCATGCTTTTCCAATAACAGTTTTCCGCGTGCCTTTTCGCAGCCAAAGACGCGCGTCAGGGCATATTGGTTTATGTGCGAAACAGAGTGCTGTTTAAGGGAATATTTTTTCATTATATTTCCAGGGTGTTTCGTAGTCGAGCCACTCATAATGCTGGCTCCTCTCCTTTTGGCTTCATTTCTGATGACAGCTTGCATATATTTGGCGAAACCAAAAGGCAAGAGCGCATCAATTTTTGGGAATGTCCTTCCCCCAATTGTTTTTTTTTTTCTCAGGACCTTTTGCCTTGTGGTTGATTGTTTTCGTTTCCTTTTGCTCCATCTTTCTGCAGATCAAACGCTTTTTGGTTACCCTCGTCTTAACGACACAAAAATTGTCCTTTGTGTGTGGGTTTGTGGGAATCCCAGCTTGGGGCGACCAAACTCAAAGGCTGCTGTAATAATTTTCACAAAACTTCTGCACCAAAAAAACAAAAAAAAAAGGGCGAAAACTTTTCCCTTTTTAATTTATGTGAAAATTGAAAAACATATTGTGGTCAGCCGATGTCGCTGGCTGTTTTCGTGGCTTCTAATTAAAAGTTCATTAGGCATGACAACGCTGCACATTAGGCCACGGGGGCGTGGCCAAGAATATTCTATGCACTCCGTTCAGCTTGGATCCACTTTTGCCTTGGGAAGCTTGCCTTCTTGGCTACGCTTCTGATGGCACTTGATTAGCGACAAGCTTTAACTTACAGTGAACGGAGCGAGTTTTACGGGGTTTTCTCTTTTGCATTCTTTCTATCCTCTAGCCAGAGAGATTTTATGAGGCAACTTGGCGGCAAAGTCGAAACAAAAATTGCCAAGGTAGTAGCTAGGGATAGGGAAAGTTTTGTCCTGCTGCTGCTTTCAAGCTCATTTGCGTAGAGCTTCTTCTGGCCAAGTTGACTTCATTTGCGCATAGTTTGTGGCTCAAGTTTGTCATAAACAATGTTGAAGTTGAGGTTAAAACAGTAGCATAAAAGTTGTTCAAGTCTTTGCTTGCGGTTTGATTGTCTGCCGCTTCGTTGCTGATGAAGGGCTATTTAATAACATAATTTATGCCAAGTCTCTGATGGTGCTACACCCACTTGGTGCAGAACTCTAAGGTGTTCTCACCTACTTTTAGCACAAGTCCAACTGCGAAGCAAAGTTTCCCGTTTGGAGCAAAACACATCAGCCCATCAGCCCATCAGCCATTAAATCTAATGAGGCCAATTAAAACCACATACTCGTACTCGTACGAACCCCAGACACAGATCGGAGCCCGTTTGCGGAATGTGTTCATTTGTCTTGGCATTAATGCGGCAATTGCGTAAATTTCACGCCTGCTGGAAAGGTTCTATCACTGTGTATCCCTTATCCCTTATCCCTATCCCTTTTTGGTTTAAATAACTGCATATCGAAGCCGCAAAAATTGCTCGAAGCTTAGCCCAAATACAAATGCCAATACACGCTCCAACCCACACCCACACGCACACCCACACGCACACCCACAGCCATTTCTATGGCACGTTTTGTGGCAAGAAATCCCGCCTAGTCTGCGGCCTATTGTGTGGGGTACACAAGTGGCTGCCAGAAAGTTCGGCCCAAACTTTTGCCTGTGAATCTCCGGCAAGAGCAACTTAATCAATGTGTGAGCACTTACAGAAACTAGCTTAAGATGCGGGGCAAGTGGGCTGCTCCACCACCACAACACTCCAATACGCTGCTCTGGGGCTGGCTTTCACTTCATTATTTATTTTTGCGTAGACCAGAACAACGCCGAAAAAAAAATGTAACTGAAATGAAATTGTTAAAGATAACATGGAACATATTGTTGACAACAGCTACAGCGCCAGAAAGTAGGCAACGCTTTCTTTTCTCTCACACAGTCCGCGAAGTATGTGCGGAGGATGTTGTGCCGCTGCCGCTGCCGCTGCTGCTCCTGCTGCTGCTGCTGTCCTTTGTTCTTGATTTGTTTGCCTCGCTGAATTTATCGCTTTGCGCAAAGTACGCACATTAATTACGGGGAGTTACTTTTATTGTTGCTACAACGCCCAACAACATGCAACAAACAATGCGACAGGAAATGAAGCGGCGCACACACAAACAGACATACGCGACACAATGAGGCACAAAGAGATGGCTGGCTGGCTCACAAAGCTTCCAAGAAAGGAAGTGCTCACGGGCAGGCAGGCAGGCAGGCATCGAGGCAGGCATCGCGAGGCAGGCAGTTGGCCTGAATCCCCGACATGCGTTACTCAATAATTCAGCGGCTCTGCTCTGCTCTGCTCCGCTTTTAATTGCACAACAACACAAGTCATTCCGGCATCTGTCTGGCAGGTGCAATGACTTTTTAAGCTAATTGAATGAGCATTTGATTGACTGTTGGCATTTACCGTACCTCCCACACTACCCGCAGAAATATGTGGACAACGACGAGACCGCCTACGATGAGGTGAAACGCGGCAAGGCCTGGGCAGCTTTGGTAATCCAGCCCAACTACACCACGGCACTGATGGAACGCGTCGAGGATGGCCGCTATGCAGATGATGCCACCATCGAGGCCTCCGATCTGGATGTGCGCATGGACTGGTCCAGTGAGTAGAGTCTCCCCCGCTTCGTCTCCATTTGATTTGCATACGATAACTTATCCTTCTCTCTCCCACTCCCCTTGCAGATCAACAAATCTCTACGCTGCTGTACCGCGACCTGCAGTACACATTCTTCCACTTTGTGGAGGGCATGCTGACCGATTGTGAGATGAATCCGAAGCTGGGACGCGTGCCCGTCGAAATTGAGCAGCCCATCTATGGCTATCGGAATCCCAACTTTACGGATTTCGCCGCACCCGGCGTCATACTGACCATCATCTTCTTCCTGTCCGTGGCCATCACATCGGGCGCCATGCTGATTGAGCGCAACGAGGGTATGCTGGAGCGCTGCCTGGTGGCGGGCATTACGGGCCCCGAAATCCTGCTCTCCCAGGTGGTCACACAGTTCACGGTCATGCTCAGCCAGACGATCTTTGTGCTGATCGTGAGCTTCTACTTCTTTGAGCTGACGCTGGTCGGCGACATCTGGCTGGTGGTGGCCCTCTGCATCCTCAATGGCCTGTGCGGCATGAGTTTTGGGTTTGTCATCTCGTGCGCCGTGGACACGGAGCGAACGGCCACCTATGTGGCCATGGGCTCCTTCCTGCCCATTGTGATGCTGTGCGGCATTATTTGGCCCATCGAGGGCATGTTCCCGTTGCTGCAGTTCGCCACCGCCTTTCTGCCGCTGACCAAGCCCACGGAATCGATGCGCTCCATACTGCAACGCGGCTGGGGCATCGACAATCCAACTGTCTACAATGGCTTCATTTCGATATCGTCCTGGGTGCTGGTGTTCCTGGTCCTCACCATACTGCTGCTCAAATTCAAGAAGGGATAAGCTCAGAAGCACACACACTTCTTATGATTTTACTAGGTTGTAAGGGTAGTCCGTAGACCCTATGTCTTACTCTAGCTTAGCGAGTGTATGTCTCTCGTATGTATGTATGTCTCTTGTACAATGTTTCAATCTGAGATAAGGTTCCGGAATTCAACTATGTCACTTACTATGCATGGAAAATTGTTGTGCCTTGTAGGTTTAAGTCTCATATCATACCCCCTACCACCCCACCACTCATTCGTACCCACAATAATAACTCTACTGTAATTACATCTGAACATATTATTATATTTATGCCCTAAGCTTGCGAACAAACAAAAAAAAAGAATATTTGAATAAAATTGATAAATAAACTCTGGCAAAAGATTTACTTCACAAAAATTAATGCGAGAAAAGTTTCCTTTGGTTTTGGTTTTGCTTTTGCATTGGTAATTGTGATTTGTTCACCTAGGACTAAGCTTTGGGGATTGCTTTGATTGCACTCGGAAAACAAACTTGGAAAATTCCCAGAACCAACAGACCTCAGGCCCAGTCCCCAGTTCCAGCCCCAGTTCCAGTCCCCAGTTCCAGTCTCAGTCTGCATTGTGAAAGTTGAAGCCAGGTGGTGGTCCTGTGGTCCTTTCAATCAGTCATTGGTTTTGCCAATATTTATTTACCAAGTATCTGCAATCAAAGACCATCAGGAAAGAAAAGGAGCGGCAGTGCTGTCCTATGCCATCTGATTTCTGCTCACAGTTGTTGGTCGGAATTCTGTGCCAACATCCATTCGCATTATTTGTGCGGCCCCCCACCCCCCAAAATGGATGCTCTGGGGGGCAGGGTGTGGTGGGTAAGGGTGTCTCGTTTTCGACACATTTCACATTTTGTGGCAAAATCAATTAAACCGGAAATGCATGTAGACCCTGAGTGAGTGGCACACACACACACACATATGTACACGTGCAGCATGGAAGAGGCAGCATCCGCTTAACACGAAAATTCAACTTAACAAGCGCACAAAGTGCCTGGTGAGCCAAGTACTCGGAATGGAGTTCCGAATGAACACAAAACAAAAAAAAAAGAGAGCAAAAGAGGGAGTGAGGGGGAGAGACTTGTGCTTTTAGGTGTTACATATGCATATGTAGGTCAGGCCAGCATGGGGCGTGGCTGAAACAACAACAGTAACTTGATCCACATGTCGTCCGTTTCCGTGACTGTCACTCTGTGTTCGGATTGCATCGATGGCAAAGTTCAGACTTTATTTGGTCCTCTCACTCTCACTCAATGACGGCCATCATCAGCGCTGTAGCTGCTGTAGCTGCTGTAGCTGTTGGCAAATCAGTCAGAGGATGGATGGCTGGCTGGCTGGCTGGCTGGCTGGCGTGTGTATTTACAATTAGATATCCGTCAGCAATCTATAACATTTCAAAGTACCAGAAGGAACAGCGGGAACAGCGGGGGAGCCACATTTGCCATTATTTTTTTCACATTCCTCTTTGGATTGATTCGGCGTGTGGGTGGAAGGAGGAGAAGTAGGAGGAGTCGCAATCGAAATCGGAGTCTTCTTCGAGTCGTTCGGTGTCTGGGTCTGTGGATCTCTTTTTCGTCCATCCATTGATTACTCGAGTGTAGCTGACGGCGGCACTCGAGCACATAAATTGGAAAATTCAGCATCCAGGGGCAAAAATCTCATTTTCATTTTCATTTACACAGATGCCCCGCCCCACCCGCGCTCCCGCACCCGTTTCCGTTGGGCCTCTCACTCAAATTTCCTTCCACATAATTGAAAGTTCAAAGTTTTCGACTTGCCGCTGAATTAATTTTTCAACTTCATAATTTCACGTGCTCCGTGAAGCTTTAATAACAGCAACCCAACCAGCTTCAGCTCCAGCTCCAGCAGCAGCAGCAGCTTCAGCTCCAGCCATACCATCCACGAGATGTGCTTCTGCAGCAGCCATTTCCATTCCCATTCCCATTCACATTTCGTGTCGGCAGCTGTCTTCAATGGCTCCTCCTTTTGTTTGTGGCTTCAGCTGAGCATTTTCCTGCCACACTCCATTTCCATCTCCGTCTCAGCCTCTGCCCCTGCCACAGCCCCTGCCAATGGTGTGTTAATTAATTGCTCAATTAATTTAATGTTCAGAGGCTGCTGCCTTTCCTTTTCCACACTGACTGTTGCTGGTTTGCTGTCCCAAAAAGTCAATTGTCTGTTGTTTTCAATGGCCTGCACTTTACACAATCCTCGAGACATTTCGTGTCACCGTTTTGTGTTTAGTTAGGGTCAACATAACCATGTAAATAAATAGCCTGCCAGCTCTGAGCGATGTGCTAGCCTGGCAGAGTTCCTTCCCTAATGCATGTCGGATCTTGCTCATTTGTGTTCTATTATTGATGTTGGATTGATTAATATTTATCAGCAGATCCATCAGCATCCATCACTGAACCGGTGATCACTTCGAGATATCTTCAATTAGTTAATCCCCAATTAAAACTGAATTACTCAAGGCCCATGACGCCTGCATCGCTCATATGCACTTTATTATTTTAATGATTGGCATTAATTATTTGCGGTGCATAATGTGCAATTTGTGTGCCAGCAGCAAACAAAATTGAGTACGAGCGAAGCCTTTCGGGTTTCGGTTTCTGGGCTCGATTTGGTTTGCTTTGTCTGGGGAGATTGTGTAATGAAAATGTCAATCAATTTTCCCATGATTTGCCATTAATGTGTGTGTGTGTGTGTGTGTCTGTGTGTGGGTAGTGCGGACCAGTCTACACCTTATGTGACACACACACACATTCACAGCCCCAAATCCACACATGCACACATGGCTGTTCCACTCAATGCCAATTGCAAATTGAGTTCATCTGCTGGCGGCAAATATTGACATGACAGACACATTTTTATTTTATTTTATTTGCATTTTTATTTCTCCTTCCCGCCCACCCATGGCTCACTCACCATTTAGCCCCTGCGCCCCATCCTGTGCTGACTGTTCTGGTTTATTTTTCGCCGTTTTTTTTTTTTTTCAATTTTCCACAGCTTCATCTTTTCCGCTTCTGCTCGGGGGCCCAATGCCCCTGCTCGGCATTTTCTTGGCTCTCCTTTCTGGCGTGTCCTTTTCTCACTTTATCTGCTGTCGACCTTCGCTTCGTTGCTCGGATTCTCTGTGTAAGTGTCTGTGTGTAGGTGGCAAAAATGACATATTAATTTCCAAAGGGGAAACGAAATAATATAAATGGAGTTGTCGCTCCGAGCTTAAGCATGTAAGCTACGAGTATGTTCGTATCTCTCCTGCCATTCCCATTCCCATTCCCATTCCCTGTCACACTTGGAGCACATCCACATGCAAATTGCTTGGCAAAATCTAAATAAATATGATCAGGGAAATCAACACTGGGGCGCTGGTGTCGCCATCGCCGGTAATTGTTTGACTATTACATTACGCATGCTAGGGGTAACCAAAAATATTCTATGACGGTATTTCTGATATTTTCAACGTTTTAATGAAGTCGTCCAGCATCGCTGGCCCCGCCCCAGCACAGATAATGCTGTCAGCAAGCCACGCGCCACCATCAATCATCCATCGACGACACAAACACACACACACACACTCGCATGCGTGACATTCGGCTTTGAGAAGGGGAAGATAAAGCCAAGGAAGAATACAGACACAGGATATGACCGTCAGTCAGTCAGTCAGACAGCCAGCCAGACAGCCAGCCATGCGAAGAGTCTTTGAGTCAGTTGTGGGGCATCTACTGCCTGTCCATACCTCAATTGAAAAGCACTTTGGAAAAGGATAATAACGATAAATTTTTTATTGTAATGTGTTTTGCAGTGTTTACATGCCGGCTGTGCCTTGCCTTGCCTTATGCCAGCCAGCCAGCTACGAGGTGAGCTTCAGCAGTTTATTTAAGAAAGTTTTAGCTCGGTTAAATAAAAATAATTTGCTTTCAAATACTGCTCAGGGCAGCAGCCAGCAGCTGCTCGAACAGAGCAACGTCGCTGTTAACAGCTCAGCTTAACAGCCTGTTACTGTTCTATGTTAGGTTAACAGCCTGCGGCCTGGTTACAGCTCACTGTTACGCGCTCTCTGCCAGCGCTCTGCCACGATCCACAAAGCTCTTGAGCGGCCTTGAGATCTAATCTAAATCTAAAGAATATCTGTAGCACTGTCCCGACTTTTTCTTCGTATTACTTATCGTTGGAGCACTATACTACATTTACCACTTCTTAGGGCCCAAGCAGCTTTGCAATACTTCTCAGCCGCCCCTCGCCACAGCCATGGCAACTGCCGAAACAGCGTGTATTGCCATTATTTTCCAAGCAGAATCTAAAGCTGCCGTTGATGCCTCTCTAGTCCTCCCACGACTTTGTCCCAATCTGCTCCTTTCTCCTACCTACCCACCCAGCCGCCATTCCTTCCCTTCCCTTCCCACACGAATGTATGAGGACAATTTGCAGTTCTCTGTCGACGTTGACGTCGACTTCCGCGTCCACGTCCCTTTCATGCTTTCATGCTGTTGCGCGCGCTTACGGGCAACACTTAATCGGCTTCCGGGGATATTTGGGATTTAGGGCGGAAACCTATTTGTGTCAAGACGCAGCGAGTGTTCTGCTCTGCTTACCCCCGTCTGACAAGGGGTCCCACCACCCCTACCGCCAAACGGGACCCTGCATTTCCTTGCCAACATCTTTTTTTTTTGGGGGGGGGTTGGCTTTGTCGCCCGCTTTTCATTTTAGGCATTTTCCTTTGGCAGCATATTTAGTCTTTTGTTTTTGCGACAATTTGCAGCCTGCTTTTTTACTTAGCCTGATACTTAAAATTTAAAACAAAAGACCCTTGCTTCCCCCCCGTCTCCACCGCCACCATCTGAAGATGAACTACTTAGTTTTTGTTTCTTCTCCTTTTCTCTTTCTTTTGCAGCCCGCGGCAAACATTACAACAATGAAGCCAATTCCGTCAACAGCCTGCGGGCGCTATTCGTAAATATATGTATGTTTCTTAATGCTGTTCTGTTGCACCGATACCTCCCTCCCTCCCACCATCCATTCAAAGTCCTATCTGAACCTACTCGTTTCCCTTTTGGCTGCTGGGGATTGTACGGGAGAAGAGTACGTGCTAATGGCTTAAGAGAAAATGACACCAAAGACGAGCATAAACATGGCCAAAAGTCAGCCAAGAGGAATCGCCGTCTTTCTCATAAATATAAGTATACTTATACTTTACCATAGGGTATTATGATTTTAGAGAATATATTTGCAACGCAGCGGAGAAAGCATTTCTGGCCCTAGTAGATGAATAGTATATGACGGATGGATTTGGGCCTAAAAGATTTTATTTTGAAAGCGTATCTCTGATTGAAACAAACCCTTCTATCAATCAAATCCTTTACACAG